CGATCCTGAATCTGGCGAACTGGAAAAACCTGAGATCATTACATTTTATAACCTAACAAAAGGAGGTGTCGATGTGGTTGATGAATTAAAATCAACTTATTCTGTTTCCAGATATTGTTACCGATGGCCACTTAGAATTTTTTTTTACAATTTTGGACGTTGCTGCTATTAATTCCAATATTGTATATAAAAGTAATACCGAAGTTATTGAAGAACGTAGAATTTATCTCAATCATCTGGCCGAAGCTTTGATTAAACCTCTGTTGATTCGTCGTTCATCGATCAGGTCTTTGCCAATTAATATTCGAAGCATGCTAAGGGAATATTTAAATATGCCTCAGATTTAACAGAACAGAGAATCTGTTCCAGATTTCTGTGGATTTTGTCCAAGAAGAAAGAACAGGAAGTCAAAAAAAACGATGTGTTAGCTGCAATGTTGCCATTTGCACGGAGCATACCACCTTCACATGTCCAACGTGTTCTGGCGTAAACGATAATAGTGGTACTTCAGATGATTAAATTTTTGATTAATATTATGTTTATTTTATCTGATTTAAGGATAACATTAATTTAAAGATAGATGTAAAATAAAATATACAGGGTATTTTTTTTTAGTTCTTAGCATTGTATAAGTTTTCTTTTTAGTATTTTTAATGTACTTATAACTCTATTTTTGGCATTTATTTTAAATAAACCCTTTTATTATTACCAATAGTTTTGTTTCATTTGCATAAAAAAAAATAAAAACAGTTACACCGAACAAAATCTTGAAGGGTTCGTCGTGTGAGAGAAATTCTCACGCGCGAGTTCTCGCGTAATTTTTTAAGGCGCGAGTGATGCAGGGTTAAAAAAAATGATATACTTATACCTATATGAAGTCTGTAGGTTCAGATGTAGCCAATGAAAAGTAATTCAAATTTCAAATCGAATATTTCATCGAGAAATATCAAAAAAATGAAGCACTTTTCGGGGAAAGCTCGCTGTTGGGGAAAGTGCTTGTTTTTTAATTCTTCCACATTGAAATATTCGATTTGGAATTTGACGAATAAGAAACTACTTTTCATTAGCTACAAATGTGCTTCTGGCTTTATACATACACCATTTTTTTTCTATTTTATAAGCTATATTTTTGCTAAGAATATTTTTTCGATACTTACTTTTTGAGTTATTTGCAAAAACCTTCTAAAAACCTTGTTCTTTTGTTGTTGAAAAATGAAATTATTCACTCGCAAATAACTCGAAAAGTATTGACTCAGCGACAAAACTTTATAGAACAAAGGTTGCTTAGAATTAGCCATATTATCCAATTCCTGACTTATTTTGAAAGTATGTTTTTTCACCTCTGAGAATGGCTGAAACTCACCCCTAGAGCAAAAACAAACATCGGTACAATATAACTTTTTTATTTAACATGTTAGCTATGTGTATGCCTAATGGCATGTCAATGCCAAGCTATTCTTTGGGGAGGTTTTATCGCGAGTGAATGGAATATTTCTGGATTAAGAGAGTAGGATGTAACTTAAATCTTATTAGAATTTCACGTAATAATAATACAAAAACAAATCACTTAAACTAAACTGTATTGACGAAAAAGGGTACATGTAAAATATTTTGTAAGCGATAAATTTAAAACTAGCGTCCTTATTGTAACAATCTTGTGTTGAGACTCTCGGAGTATTGACGTGTTCTATCCGTAACTACCTGCAGCCCCTCTCGAGGGGTGTAAAAATCAAGGTCGGGTATAACTTGACTAAAAGTGTATTATACCGGGTTGCTCAAAAGTTTTAATAAAGAGTATACAGAAAAAGTATACAGAATGCAGTTTCATAACTTTACCGATATTTTCGATGATGCTGGTTTTATTACTGTACATATTATTTTTCCCTAAACTATTTTGACATTCTCTCAATCAACTAAGTACATTAAGTTATTGAAGATAAATAGAATAACAATATTTTTAAAAATCATATCAACCTCAGTGCGACCCTGTTTGGCTTTCACGTGCGTTTGTTGACAGTTGGGAATTTGTAAAATGAATGTAGTTTAGTGCTCTCCAGCCTAGATTGCTCGTGCGCATATTATTTTGTATTCTTGGTGTTTAGAGTTATAATAAATAGTTTCAATTGCTCTCTAGTGATATTCTGACCGCCGTACCATTTTTTTGTAATTTCCATTGCATGTTTGTTACACCAGTGGTACCAGAACATCATGAGAAAATCAAGACATCTTACCAAGGAAAATAGCAGAAATAAAAACTTTATTATTGAACACTAATCATTCACAACAGAAATATAGCATAAATTTCCAAAGTTTCACGGCGCAAACAGAAATGTGAACAAAAAAATTACATTACCACGAGATAAAAGAAAAATTCGAGATATTGTCTTGGCAAACAGTAAACAACTTCGAAGAATTTTAACGAAAATGATGCAGGAGTTTGGCTTCGTGAAGAAAAAAAAGACTTTAATGGGCTAAAGGTCGTAAAGATCGAACCATTGATGATTGGAATCATGTAAATAATCTTACTTAACATCGTTTGTCTTTTATATAGTTTACAGTTGATCAATTTGCCCACGATTCTAAAATAATATTTCAGGTTTGTTTTTTGGACCAATCTACCATGCAGTTCCTCATGGATAGAGCTGAATTTGTGAGGAGAAGATCTGGGAAAAATACAAAACCGATTGTATTCTAAGGACGGTAAAGCACCCCCTGAGCATCATGGTGTGGTCTATCATAAGCAGTCAAGGAACTGGTAGACTACATTGTCGAAGGAACAATGCGGTAGAACCAGTACTTGAGAGTACTGCAAACAAATATGCCTCACCAGGTCCAAGAGTGGTTCCCGAATCAGAGTTTCACGTTTATGCATGACTCCGCGCCTTGTCACAAGGCAAAAACTGTTACAAAATCCCTTGCTGACAACCAGATAAAGGAGCTTGACTGGCTTGACAATTCGCCAGATCTAAATCCAATAGAAAATCTATTTTTCATAATATTTATTCCATAATTTTATTTTTATGAACCACTCATCTGTAGGTTTAATAAGACCTCCAAAAGAGAGTTGGTGCACCCATGATGGTAAACTATAACTATGTTCACTAACTTTGTATGTGAAATTACCTAGATCAGGTAAACTATCTTTAAATTTTTTTCTAAATATTCAGCGATGTATTCTAAGGCATCTTCTGTAGTTTCCTGCAAATCACTGACAACACAATATTATTGATTAGATGATTCTTGGGAAGAGAAAGAATTACTATTGTTTGATTCATCAGGTTCTTCTATTTTTTCTTGAGGAATTTTAAGATTGGCTTTTTGGAATACTTCTGGACTAGTATATTGATCCACACTCAGAAAGAAATGCAATTTGGTTTGTGATTAACACTTTATTTAACAAAATTTCAGCAAAAATTTCAGATTTTTTTGATTTTTTTCTGAACATTCATATTTTTGCTTTAAAATACCTCAACTGACTTGTTAAACTTTTTATTTTCTTTTGACTCTTTTTCTTTAAATTGGAATGACCAGCTATTAATTTTTCATACTTGTTTAATAATTCGTTGTATTTTGCTTCAAAACAGAGCTTCAAAACAAAGGTTTGTTTTTTGGACCAATCTACCGTGCAGTTCCTTATGGATAGAGCTGAATTTGTGAGGAGAAGACCTAGGAAAAATACAATACCGATTGTATTCTAAGGACGGTAAAGCACCCCCTGAGCATCATGGTGTGGTCTATCATAAGCAGTCAAGGAACTGGTAGACTACATTGTAGAAGGGACAATGCTGTAGGACCAGTACTTGAGAGTACTCTTAACAAAAATGCCTCACCAGGTCCAAGAGTGGTTCCCGAATCAGAGTTTCACGTTTATGCATGACTCAGCGCCTTGTCACAAGGCAAAAACTGTTACAAAATCCCTTGATGACAACCAGATAAAGGAGCTTGACTGGCTTGGCAATTCGCCAGATCTGAATCCAATAGAAAATCTTTGGAAGCTCATGAAGAACGAAATTTTTAATGAAATTATAACCACAAGCCGTTAATTAATAGAGCGTTTAATAGCAGTATGGCACAGAAGTGGAGCAATTCAACAGAAATGCATAGAAATTATGCCAAGAAGGTGCCAGGCAGTCATTGCTGCAAAGAGTGACACACCAAGTATTAGGGATAAGGCATAATTTTAAGTGTTTCTATGTAATTACTCGTTTCAGGCGAGTTAAGACAATGATTTTGGCATTAAAAGGAAAGGAAAGTTTTGTAAAATAAATTTTATTGATAACTAAAGCTGACAGTTGTTTTATGTGTTTTTAAAATCGCCAAAATTTAAGGTATAGGAGTGAGATAAAGCCATACTGGATACGTGAAAACCATACTAAAAGACCACAAAAACTAAATTTGTGGGCGGGTATAGTGGGTACTCAATTAATTGGGCTATTTTTTTACAAAAGGAAATTTAACAAGCGATATTTACGAAATGCTACTTAGAAATTAAGTTTTACCTGTCCTGAAAAACAATTTCGAACCAATTTTAATGAGATATTATTTCAGAAAGACGGAGCTTCAGCTATTTTGCTGTAAATGTTCGGTGTTATTTAAAGCAGACATTTCCCGGGCGATGTATTGGTAAATTAGGTAGTATTGAATGACCTCCTCGTTCACCCGATTTGAACCCTAAAGAGTATTAGGGATACTTGAAAAGTAGAATTTATAAAACTAAACCAGCAAGTGTTGCAGAGCTAAGGCAAAGAGTTATTAATGAATCCATATTAATTTCTAGATAAATATGGAAAAATGTAATAGACGCATTCTAACATCATTTAGGTTACTGTCAATATTACAAACATCAAATTTCAAATCTTCATAATGCAAAATAAGTGTGTCCCTGTTTTTGTATAATTTGCGCCGTCCATTTAAGAGATAATTAGGCCTTTTTAGACTTTTGGTTCACTATGTAGATCTTTTTATTTTTTTTATTCTTAAAACTGTTTTACTTGTTTTAGAAGAGTGTGACAATATCAAGCAACAGATGAAACAGCTAAAAAGTTGTCCGTCAATAGCTCCCAAGCCGAGACCTTGGTCTATGGTGAATTCCGAAGGAAAATCTAGCGACCTCGGTTTATTGAGCGACGGATCGTCTCCTAACAACTCAACAGGAAACACTCCCGATTCCGCAGAGGCTTTGGACAGTTCGGAATCTTCGTCTATAGACAGACGGCTTGCAAAGGAAGTTAAACTGAAAAGGAGCAGTAAGTAGAAAGGCTATTTGAGTACAAAAACATTTGCTTTGGGTGTTTCATTTAATGAAATTATTATGTTTTCATGAAATATGTTCCTTTGTGTTGTGGATCTTGTTTTTTGTATATTTTGTGTACCAAATGGTATTTTTCGTCTCTAATTTTCAAACACAGATAATTTTTTATTCTTTATGTGATATACATACACTATAGGCCTACCAACAGAAAGAAATATAGTTACAGGAACTTTTGCTGACAATAGCGCCACACTAGCGTCCCTGATCATCTAATAGTCGCTTTAGTCATCCTATAACGTCTCATAGAGTGGTTATACAAACGGGGATGAAGCAAAGACAGTCCAAGTAACCTTCACCCTAAGTAAAGAATGATGTCTAAAACTATAACATCCAAACTGTATTGAAATTTAGCAATCCAAACGCAAAAAGCCCTAAGTAAAAGTACATTTATAGACATTAGATTAACATGGAAAAATATCTGTTTTATTTTCTTGTCTATACAGTTCTTTTCAGATAAAGCTATCCACCTTAAATAACTTTTGAACCTCTAATTTTTTGGAAAAACGCAAAAAACACGTCAATTAATATCTGAAGGGGGAGACATAATATCATATTAAAGGTTGCTGGAAAATGCACCCTCTCACCCCCTGTATCAACCCTTTATTATTTTTTAATTACTTCCCCCTTGTTTTGTTTTATATTTCCATTCTCCTTTTTGTTCTGATTTCAAAAATGTATAATACCTTTGGCTTGAAGTGATTAGTTTATCAGATAGACAATTTTCCTGTTAACAAGACAGTATCTCACCACACCTTAATTGACTCTAACAAAATAGGTTGTAGCATAATTTAAACTCTTTAAATATTTAACCGTACTATTTTTAGTACCTTTAAAAACCAAGAAACAAAAAAATTCACTTTTTATTCAAGTTTTATCAAAGGTTTTCAATATCATTTTTACATTTGTTTTAATCGGTTAATAGCGACAATTTGTTATAACTTGTAAGTAACAGCTTATTTTGATACGTGTGCAATTTGATCGCTGAAATGGTGTACACTTTGCAAGAAAGAATCGAAATTGTAGGTTTATACTACAAAAATAATAATTGTGCAAGAGCTGCTGCTAGAGTTTTTAATGAAACACACCACAATAGACATGCAACTCATAAGCGTGTGATTGAACTGATGCAGAAAAAATTAGATCAAGAGGGTCAGTTTGCAATAAAAAACATAACCGACAGGAACTTGTAAATAAAAAAGCAATCCAAGTAGCTGTTTTAGGGCAAGTTAACTTAGACTCTTAACAATCACAGTCACTGTCAACAATAAGCAGAGCAATCGGTGTTTCATCTTCTACAGCCTTCCGAGTCCTCCATAAATTTAAGTTTTTCAATATAAAATTAAATTAGTACAAGAGTTAAATGAAGAAGATTTTGATCGTCGTCCCGAATGTTGCGAATTAATGATAAAATGCATCATTAACAATCCACAATTGTTAAACAATATTTGCTTCTCGGATGAATGCTCATTCTCATTAAACGGTTTGGTGAACAGATATAATTGCCGATACTGGGCTGAGAGTGATCCACATATTGTACGCGAATTTCACACACAGCATCCTCAAAGGTTAAACGTATGGTGTGGTATCCTACGTAATCACATTTTCGGACCCTTCTTTATCACTGGAAACTTAAATGGTGTATCGTATCTTGAATTATATAGGCAAGTGGTTGATCGTTAGAACAATAGTAGCAAATGATGATAACCTTTCCGATGATTTGGTTGTATTTCAACATGATGGAGCTTCTCCACACTTTGCTTTACCTGTGCGATAATTTTTAAACGAAACGTTTCCCGGTCCTTGGATAGGTAAAAGACTACAGATGATCGATTGGCCACCTAGGTCACCGGATTGATCACCCCTAGACTTCTTCTTATGAGAGTATTTAAAAACAAACATTATGCTACTCAACCAGAATATCTAAATGATTTACAACAAAGAATAGAGGATGAATGTCGACAATTAAATGCAGTTGGTTAAGCAATGTCAGAGAAGAATTTCAAAATAGATTGTACTATTGTATGGAAGTGAAAGGCAGTCATTTTGAACAATTATTGTAAAAATTTTTAGTAGTGAAATGTTTGTTCTAAATGTGTGTAATAAAATTGTTAAAAAATAATTTTTTTTCAATCCAATTTTCTTGCTTTTGTATTTACTTTTCTCATAAACTAATCACTTCAAGTATCATGTATTATACATTTCTGAAATCAGTACAATAAGGAGAATCCAAATATAAAATAAAAAAAGGGAGAAGTAATTTAAAAAAAATAAAGGGTTGATACAGGGGGTGAGAGGGTGCATTTTCCAGCAACCTTAAATATGATATTATGCCTCCCCCTTCAGATATTAATTAAAGTGTTTTTGCGTTTTTCCAAAAAATTAGAGGTTCAAAAGTTATTTAAGGTGGATAGTTTTATCTGAAAAGCACTGTATAGACAAGAAAATAAAACAGATGATCTAAAAATCGAAAAACTATAGTGGTGAAGTGAGGGTCCCAATCTGCAGAGTATCCAAGATAAAAAAACTTCTTTTATAAATAAGTAGCATCAAACCAATCTAGTTTTATGCAATCGAAATTTGTAGGAGTTTATAGCAGCATATCCTTTGTTGCTATTATGCTAGTCAAGATTTTTCGTTTGGTGGCTGATATGATCCATTTTACATCTCGATTCAAACGCTGTATTAAGACTTGAGCATGCTTCTAAAAGAAGCAACAGAACATACTGGAAAACCACAATAGTAATTTACTCCAATTGAGAATAATAGAAGTATAAAAGTATTGAGAAAAAGACCAAAAACGGGGACAAGGCAGATAATAAAGATTAAAGATACCAACCAGAAACGAACAGAGAGGATGTGCTTAAAATAGTTGAGTACTTCTAAAAATTGCTGTTCAATCACAAATTAATCCCTTAATTTGTAATCTCACATTATTCTTAACTTCTTAATCTTTTATAGTTTCACCGTGTATAAATGAGACATTGTAAAACTATATCGAGTAATATTTTAATAATTAAAATACATTCACCTGTTAATAAATTGTCAAATAATATATTTTCCAATTGAACTTCCTAAGTGTTGCAATTACGGCCTAGATTAAATTGTATTGTAAGCTCATAGTTCAAAGTTTGTTAGTATGATAGAAGCAATAACCTCTGTGCTGAGATATTCATTACTTGTGAGATTATAAATTGGGGATTTGAGGCCATGTAAGCGCAGTCTATTATGGATAGTTACCTAACAACATTATATAGTGTAATTAGTAGTAGCTGTCAATAAAACCAACATTTTTCTCCACAACTTTAACTTTTTGTTATATTTATCATCGGCGATCGACAATAAGCGGACAAAGGGTCATTATAAAACGATTCGAACCTCATAACTACGTTCGAATCTGTTCATTGGTCCTTCGAGCCGGATATCGATATGATGTCTGGGAATGTACACAAGACAACACAAAGCAAATAACAAAGAAGATCAAGTACCAGAAATATTAACAAGGAAAAAGGGCATTGTCAACCAATGATCAGAACTTCTACTGGAAATCACAATAGACGAAATAAAACTAGCCCTAAGAAAAACTAAGAATAACAAATCTCCAGACGAAGATTATGTAGTTACTGATGCAATTAAAATCGGAGGCACTTTCCTACATAAAAAAATTAAAAAGCCTTTTTAACATGTGCCTTTTACACAGTAATACCGGGTGGTGAATCGTCAAACGGACCATAGGAAACTCAATGGGAAATTTTAAATTGTTGAATTGCTGCTTCCCTAATTATTTTAGATCAAAAGTCATAAAAAAACTATTTGTAGAGGACTAAATTCTAAATTAAAAACAAATGTTAAAACCGTTTTACGAATCAAATGTACTTCAAAATTTTGCAAAAATATAATAGATTTTTCAGACCATCCCTAAAAGTTAGGCCACACGTAATACAAGAATATATTATAACGTGTGTCTTTTATCATCTTAATGTCAGATGTTTGACAATTTGAATTGTCAATTTTATTTTTATTTTATGATTAAATTATAAACAATGAATTTTACTAAATACTACTACTACTGCACAATATTACTTTGTGAACAATAAATTATATTGTTTACAAATCGATCAATATAAGGAAATGTACTCATTTGACGAAAAATCGCATAATGTTGTATTCAGGCAATAGCGCGAACCTTTTCCTGTCACTACCGGATCTTTATTTAACGTAAGATATTCTAATACACTAAAATTTAATTCCATGTTAAGTTATTCCATATTCCATATTCCATACAACAATTCAATGAATTCCAATATACTGTTACTGTGATTTTTATTCCTAATAATAATATATGATAATTTCTAAACATAAAACTATAACAGATGTTATAATAAAACATTAATAAAACATTTTTATTATTGCTCTTTTCTCCTTAACTGAGTACATTTTTTAATCAACTTAATTTTTTTTTAATAATAAATCACAAAATTTTGGCCATTTAAATCATAGATAAATATAATATAGTTGATTTAAATATTGTCAAATATTAGAAACGGCAATATGACAAAACGCAACACGTAATACACATTCTTTTCACGGCGTCTGGCCTGACTTTTAGGGGTGGCCTGAAAAATGTGTTATATTTTAGCAAAATTTTGGAATACGTTTAAGTCGTAGAACAATTTTAACAATTGTTTTCGATACATACTTGAGTCCTCTACAAATAGTTTCCCATGACTTTTGGTGTAAAATAATTAGGGAAGCAGGAATTCAACAATTTAGAATTTCTCATTGAGTTTCCTATGGCCCGTTTGACGATTCACCACCCTGTATACCCGACAAATGGCACAACGCCGAGGTAATTCTATTATACAAAAAAGGAGATCCCCATGTATTAGAAAACTACAGACCTATAAGTCTTAGTCACCTATACAAACTCTACAAGTATAATAACG